GAGCCAGCCGTGATCTTACGGCTGGCTCCGGCCACTTTCAGAGAGATCAGCGTCCCTGGTTGCTAACCAGGGACACTGATCTCCAAATAGCTGACTCTCCCTGGCACCCCGGGAGTCTCCTGCTCCCGGCCGCCAAGGAGAAAAACCCTGCTGTGTCTTTTTTCTTTATTCTGACACGAGCATGTCAGAATCGAGATTAAAAAAAAGACGAATTCCCATTCAAAAGCATTGGGAGTTTACTATTGGCTATTTCAATTTGCAATAGCCAATAGTAAACTAGCATTGTACCCGCCCTCTTTTGCAGTTCCCCATCAGGTCCATCAGCAGAGGGCGGGTACAATGCTAGTTTAGTATTGGCTATTGCAAATTGAAATAGCCAATAGTAAACTCCCAATGCTTTTGAATAGACCCCTAAGTGTAATGAGAGACAAGAAGTAGTGTGAATGTGAATAATTGATAGAGAAGAGTATGAAAAAGACAGTAACTCCAAAAAAGTGGAAGAAGAATAAAATAATTAGAAATGAAAGGGATTATAACCATGATAAATAAAACCAGAATAAAGACAAAGACACAGTAGATACTGTTCAAAGCACACAAAGCATTTGGCAGTCGTAAAATTAGACAAGCACACAATAATTTTAACCTCCTAGGCCGTCGATCAGATGTTTCTGCTACTTGGTATCCTGGCTTACACCTGTATCTGCATGTGGATCCCACATCGTGGTTACCCAGCTGGCAGCGGGTTGTGATAAGCTTTGCATTAATAATTGGCATTGGCGCATCACATTCAATCTTGCAGTAACCTTCAGGGAGAGACCAAAGGCCATCCCAGATACAGGACACCCATGGATTAATTCCTGAAACCAGAAGAAGAGAGGTTAGATTTTCATCTCCTTTTAAAAATTAACCAATTGCAAAACAAAAACAGTTACTGTTTGTAGAAATTAGGGAAGATTTTTAGGAATAGTAAACATTCTTTTTACACCAACTAACAAACAATGTTGTTTTTTATAATCAGTGGATATATGTAATTTTTATCTATGCCGATCATAAAGTTTTTTATGAAATAAAATGTTTTTAATTATTAAGACAATATGTGATTTTTGTGTTATAGGTTTGTAATATGTCCCCTTGCCTTCCCTAGATGACACCTTAAAAGCCCCATCTTTTTCTTAGTTGGTGTATATTGAATATAGGGGTGTGCTGTCCCCGTTCTTGTGGTGATTCAAAATATTTTCAACATTCTTTCTTTTATTGGAAATAGTCAATAAAAATGTATTGAACAAAAAAAAGGAATATTCAACATCCTATCATTCACTTTACAATACATTTTCCTGCCACAGTGCTCTTGGAAGTGGTGTAGAAGGGGGTGGACAGGAGAAAAGATAGAAAACCTGTTAAATGTTTTAAAATTTTAAAGTAAAGCCCTGTCTTGGAGCAGGCACTAAAGTTGTCTGCCTGTACCAATTTTGGCCAGGAATACCTTTTCTGTGTTCTTCTCTGGTTATGCTGAATATATGCAAATTCAGTGTTAGGCACTGTCCCGAAGCAATGCCACCAGTCTAGTAAAAGTTGCCTTAAACAAAGGGAGGGCAAAGCTTAGCTCAGGGAGTGGGGCTTAGACCAACAGTCAGGAAAGTCAAGCCCTTATTAAGAAATTGAAAGTTCTAGATACAGGTCTACCACGGTTTTGCTAGAGTTGGGGTATAATAGATGAATGCATCTAAAGTGGATAATGAAATGCACCACATTAAGTTCACTGTTGAGTAGCACATAATGTAAATTATTGGGCAAGTGAGAAACAGCTCTACTTTTGTTTTAAACATTTTAATTTCACCTTCCACAAATCAGCCCCAGTGTCTCTCTGAATAGCTACCTTGGAATTTTGCAGGAGGCAGGCAGGTAAAAAAACACTGTTTCCCCAAGCCTGTCCCTTTAGGGCAAGAGAAACTGGCATGAAAAACAAGTGATGGAGGCGGGACTCCACAATCCAGTCGTTCACAAGTTACCATCAAATTCCATTTCCCAGAAGAACATTTAAGCACTGTGTCCTGAATAAGAAAAGAATTAGAAAAGAAAATTGCATTTAATAAAAACAAACAGTAAAGAAAAGTATTGATAAAAATTACGTTTTTAGGCGCTTGGTGGGCTGTTCTGAACCCTGGCTAATAACGATTAAACGAATGGTCTGAAAGTGTGTCCTGAGCCTAATGGCTCAGTTCTATAATGAAAAGAGTGTTTACAAAAAGAGAGTGCACACATTTATTGGTGTAACAGTTAAATGTTAAGTGTATCAAAGGCCAAAACGTTTTTGTTGAAGTGTTGAAACCCTAGTCTGGTTTTTATTGCTGTTAGTTCTGGTTACCATTGTTACCAGCACAAAGAGTAACAGCAATTTAAAAATGTTAAGGTTGCTACTAAAACAGTAAGTGAAAATGAAAGACTTCGCAGGGGACACATGATTCATAGACAACTGTCTAAGAGGGAATTTCGCCTCACTTTGGAGAGATCTCTGGGAGAGGAAGTTAAGGGGGGAAAAATTCCCAATGAGACACAGAGATTTAGCTCCACCTTAAAAGCCTCCAGAGAGAAATTGTGTATGCCTTGCCTCAGACCCAAGCTGATTTAACTAGTAGCACAGGTGCTTGTCTGCCTACATTAGAAATGTTTTAGGCAAAAACAGAATCACTTACAGTAAGCTGTACCTTTTTAACATGCAAGGTTAATCATTGAATTCTTACCTGTAAGACTTTATGCCCTGCTTTACTGACCGAGTGTAGAACATGGCCTTCATCACATGTCACAGAACACAGAGTTTCTCCATCCACATCTACGGAACAGTGGGTAGAACCATGTGCCACATGCAGTGGGGAGCATGACCTAGTGGATTGATTGGAAATGACATTTAAATTAATAAATGGCTACAACCTTTTATATATTTATTAAGGCAGTGCAAAGTTCAATAACCATGCAAAATGCAAGAACCCATAAAAACCAAGTAGAGTTAACCAAGTCCATTCTTAACTGATTTGACCACAAACAATACGTTCTGATTTCTTTTTCTGGACCAGCACATAGGCATTACAGTATATCACTTATTATAGGTCAGTTTGTAGTGTTGGTTTTCAATGTTGGATGCAGTATTGGTGATCTATAGTATTCTAAACATGACCTAATGTTAGTCATCTGCAGCAATTGTGGCACCGACAAGTAAACTCACAGTGGCGCATTGTACATACCGTATTTCTGTACTGAAGACACCTCTGCCACCAGCCTTATCTCAAAGAACAACAGCAATCAGCTAGGAAAATAATTCCTGCCAACCAATATTACCTCAGAGACAGATGGGCTACATAGATCTTAAGTAGTGCGTAGATATAAAATCAATCCCAATCTATCTGTTATCAGTAGGATTAAGGTGGACTTGAAAGCTTTTTCTAGTTTTAGGTATACTGGGGGTGGAGCGGGACCTTTGTCAGGTTTTATTGCTGTCTGTGCTCTCCACATTTGCAGAGTCATTTTCACATTTGTCATAGTGACTATTGTCATTGAGACAGGAAGTGAAAGGAAATCTCAAATTTTACTGTTGTCATTGGAACATGAACATGAGGAAAAATCTCCCAATTGAGACAAAAAGTTCCAGGGGCAGCTGTCAAACATGGAAGGTTCCCTTCAAATTTGGGACATTTTATCTCTGCTTACACAGAAAACAATAAAACCCTGGCAGATGTCCTAACCCTTACCCGCTTTATCCAAAACTAGAAAACTTTTATGGGTGGCATTCCACATTGGCTGGAGTCAGGCTGTAAATTGGGGGCACAGGATTATAACACTATGGGGTTGATTTACTTAAATAAAATTGGTTGTTTACTTTGCAAGGAAATTTTAACCCCATTCAATTAAGGGGAAAATTCCCTTGCAAAGTGCAAATTCCCTTGAAAAGTGAACATCACATTTGCCTTTAGTAAATCAACCCCATCATATTAAAGCAACAATACCCAAAGCAACAAATGAAATCATGACATTGCTATAAAGTCTAGAGCTCTAACGGGAGTCATTACTTCTGTACCAATTTTTACTGATTGTCTCTGAATGACTCCCACTGAACAAAGAGCCCTAGGACCTATCTACTACTACTCTATGAAGAACACAAATCAAGTACAAGTGGGATTTTCCATTTGAAACGCAGTTCCAAATTAATAACCACTCCTAATTATATCAACTCCTTGATGGAAGATTATCACTCTCTTATAGCTGTGGAAGTGCACTCTTACAGTTAGATAGGTCCCTATGGAACTCATTCAATCTTAAGCCCTGCTGGCCTATTAGACAGCTCCCATCTGAACTGAAAGAAGGATAACAGGTAACAGAGAGTCGACCATATGTTTTTATACTTCATCTTTTCCAGTTATGTACTTTCTCCACTTTCATCCTTGGACTCCTAATCATTTTTTCTTTCTTTCTTTCTTTCTTTCTTTCTTTCTTTCTTTCTGGCATTTTATATCACTATCCATTTACACTACACTTTACATACTATCCAGTCACATCAGTCCTTGCCCTCAAAGAGCTTATACTTCAAGGTCCATATCCTACATACAGACACATACTAGGTGCAATACAGACAGGAGTCAATTAACCTACCAGCATATTTTTCGAGAGTGGATGGAAACCAGGGTACCCAAAGAAAACCCACACAAGAACAGGGAGAACATGCAAACAGGCGAACTCCGTGCAAATAGTGTCCAATTTCCCATCTCACATCACAGACATTACATCAGAACATAATAAACCTTGTTACACCAAGACTAGAAAGGGCTGAACTGACACTACTCCAATTTTGCTTTTCTGGTTCTTACTTATCACCGTCATTTTTAAAAATCTCCTTAATTTCTGATTTATTGTTTATATACATCTGCAGCATATTCATCAGAGCTTTTTTCCATGCCTTAACAAACTCTGCCTTCCATATCAATGGTATGATTAGCCGCACTGCTTCATTTAACTACATTACTCAGTAGCTATATTTAGCACAACTATGTAATTGACTATGTAGTTTAAAATCCCAGATGTGTCAAGGGAATAGGACATTTTCTGGCTTTCATATTTTATTTTAGCACTGAAAAATCTTCTAATATAAGAATCTTTATTTATAACATGGCTTACTCACAGATCATGGAAATATGCCTACTCCAACATAATCTTTAAAAAAAATAGTTTTGTCCAACCCCATTTAACCAATTCATGCAAGTTAGCTTGTTTAATCACTGTCTGGTATATGTGGAAACTGCTGTTTCTCCCTCTTGTGGTTTGGATCTAAAATACAGACTCTCTCTCTCTTAAATAGTATAAAAAACAAATAACTTCTTTTATTTGCAACCATTTGGCCTGCTAAATTTACCATTTAATGCATTTGCTATGTCTGTTCAATAATGACAGCATATACCTTTTGATCCTGCCAGAAATATTGTCACCAGATAATTTGTGTGTTCTATATCTGTGCTGCACTCTTATCACTTACATTGTTTGCATCAATCTCTAAGTGCTACAGACACCTCCCCATGCTATGGAGAAGAGCAGGGGGAAAGGGGTTGTTCTATCCTATGGTGACAATGCTGCTTCTCCATTGATACAGCACAGTGAGTGAGCGTTGTCACACTAGGACAGAAAGCAGGACCGCCAGAAGGAAATAAAGAAAAAAAATAGGAGGGGGGAGGGGGGGTTAAATAAAGACAATGAATGCATCCACCATATCCAAGGACTGATAATTTGCAATATATAACATTTTTGTTCTTGTGTTTATTTTGTTTTATCTAACTGTGCAAATAACTTTCACCAGCTATAGTAAAGTGGGAAAACA